TTGGTAAGCACTTATCGGTGGAATTAAAAATTATCACTTATTTATCAGGTAAATGTTTAGTCAATAAAAACGGCATCGTATGCAACAATTTATCCGGTAAGTGATAACCGTGGTAAGAATCGTCACCCTCGCTAACCGAGTAAGACTCTCAGTCTTTATCTTTAAGATTTTTGGTTCTTGTCATATTCATCCAATAAAGTAATATGACTTAATAAACGCTTATCAATGTAAACATTTAGTAAACATCCAACGTTATTTAAGACTAGATTCTTTTTGGCCCAAATTTCAGTAGCCCAATTGATAGCCCATTATGCAGTTTAATTAATGGGCTTAACCCAATAAAATGAATATTGATATTCATGTGGCCCAACCCAAATTTTGTTGTGGTATTAATTCAGTTCAATTAATCTGACCCAACCCACTATCCCTATCTATGGGACCGTTTACTAAACGTTTACCCGGAAAGTGCTTATCGGGTAATTTTCATTAACGGATGAACATGACAATGGTCAAAAATCTTTTCCGGTAAGAACAACGATAAATATGAAGAGTCTTACTCGGTAAATGAGGGTGGTGACTCTTACTCGGGTAAGTGCTTACTGGATAAATTGTTGCATACCATATCATTTTGATATACTACAATCTTACTCGATTAAATAAATTATAGTGTTGATTCCTAATAGTAAGCACTTACCCGGTAAGCATTTAGGTAAACGACCCCTATGTCTTTGCGATTAGAATTAGAACTGGAACTGTCTGAACTCTAAAATAAATAAAATGTTTGGAAATAAATATAAATTTTTAAGGATTTTAATTTTTGGTTTTCTTTTTTACAAAAAATTATATAAATAGAAACCATTGATAAATCACAGGGACGAAAATTGCAATTTATTTTATAATCTAATGAATCAAAAAAGGAAAAGTAAAATGACCAAAATACCTTTAAGTTAACTAACTTTTTAAACTAAAGCTAGTCAAAGGGACGAAGAGTGAAACAATGGCAATTACAGCGACCAAAAATGAAATTAGTTTCAGATAGAGACCAAACTTGATATCGAGTGACAACCATAAGGACAAAAATGTAATTTACTCTTAACATAACTTGTTTAGTTGTTGATTTCTAATTATTAGTTATTGATTGTTAGGGTTTAATACATAGACGAAGGATTGTGTGATAATATGTGTGAAGGTCAAAACCGTAAAAAAGGATCTGGACATTTGGTTACTTTTATTCTTACCCCCACCTCATGAACTGCGCTTATCACATGAATAAATCTAGTGAATCGTGCACTAACGTTAGTGTTGATCTTCGATTAGAATTGATACAATGATGAAGATCTTTTTTTACCCTTCTCAGCATAACTTCTGTCTTCATCAAAACTCAACCATACATGGATAATTATTAATTGTTTTGTGCTAATTGTTTTCGTGTTTAATTTATAATTTCCAATATGGCGAATTATGAATTGATTTGTGATTCTGTTGTTTCTTTTATTGTTATTTAACTACAAAAATAGAAAGATTTCTATTAAAAAAAATTTACTTACATTTGAAACCAACAGTGGTAGTAATGATTCTCGTAATACGCCTCATGTAATCTATATTACGTTACTTAAATTTCGACCCTATATTATAATGGAGGGAATTCATTAGACCATTGGTCTAACCCTCGTTTTTGTAAAACTGAAAATCTTTTCATGAAAGTATCAAAGACCTTCCAGCCTAGTAGTAAAGGCTTGGGCATGGCATAGTCATGAATCCGAGTTCGAGCCCTGGGAAGGGAGTGTTGGCGACATTTAAGTGGGGCCATGTTTAGCCTCCAAATTTGTCGGGGATTAGTCGGGCTTTGGCCCGGACACCCTTACAAACAAAAAAAAAGTATCATGCCGAGAAGGTGTGAGCCTTGAGGCTGTAAGATGGCTTTATCTCGTAGATAGATAGTTGTCTTAAACTTTAATTTAAATCATGTAATAAATATTAGTTTCCACTGCAGCTCATGAGATAGTATTAGGATTGTTGTATTTTTTCCAGTAATAAGTATATTATTTTGAGTTAATGGTTGTTACAATGAGGGTGACTACTCTTATTGGGTAAATGTTTACTGGGTAAATTGTTGTATAGAATATTATTTTGTAATAAATATTTTTTTGGTTTTTTAATTACTTTAACTTTTGTGTTTTTATATTTTACACTTTTACAAATTTATTTAATCACATCACTCACAATTTTACGAATTCATACACGTCATGAACTCATGAGTAAAATGAAGTTGTAAAATTATATTTCTAGGTTAATATTTTGAATATTTAATCAAAGACTATTTTTATAATAAAAATTTATATGATTTTTTTCTTCTAAATGAAGGTCAATTTTTTAGTATGATTATATGATTGAATAATATGTAGAAAACATGTATATCAAACCTTATATTGTTCTTATATTATGATATATTTGGTTAACATATAAAAAATAAAAAATAAAATATTAAGTATTATGTATATTAATATATATATATATATATAGAGAGAGAGAGAGAGAGAGGAGTGATCATATGAAAACCGTCCTCATTTGTGTAAACNTTTGATGAAGTTGTTTCATATATGGTTGTGAAATTGTTTCATATAATACTTAATGAAACTGTTTCATGTATTTCTCTAACATTAATGAAACTGTTTCATGTATTTMTCTAACATTAATGAAAYTGTTTCATGTATTTCTCTAAAATTAAAATTATGAAGATGATAATATCTATTATTAACACCCTCCACAATAAAAATGATTAATCAACATCTCATAATTACAAAAAAATGAACAAAATGAAAAAATATGATTGGTTGAATGCGGTTTGCACGGTTTGTACAAATTGAGTGGTTTGCATTTGATCGCTCCCCTATATATATATATATATATATATATATATATATATATATGATCTATTAATTAAAAAATTAAACTTTACAAAAATAATTAATAAACACCTTTAAATACAAAATAATAATTGAACTCATTAATTGAAGAAAATACTCTTTATGAAGAAGAAAATAAATAGTTCATCTATTTTAACTCAAACCCGGTTTCATTTATTGTTTAACTCATCGTCATCCGTTTTGCCAACTTACTTTATAGTTTTGTTAAATATTAAGGGTCATACACCAAATACTTGACTAGTAAAAGCTTATCAGGTGTCACTTTCTTTATCAGAGGAACATGATAATTAGTAAGAACCAAGAATCTCACATGATAAGAATCCTAAGAAAAATCAGGAATCTTATCATGTGAGTGATGAAGAAGACTTCTATTCAGCAAGCGTTTATCGGCCGGTAAAAGTTACTTACCAACAATAAATTTGATGGTCTAAAATGTAAACCGATAACACAAGTAAAAGTGATGACTCATGCCGCTAAACACTTATCCGATAAATTTTTAAAAAAGACCCTTTAAATTTATTATTAAAAAAAGTATTTCATTATGATAAGTTCATTGACTTTTTAATACAAGAACTCTTTCTTCCAGGGTCAACTAGATGAAAAGACCAAGTTGATCCTTAAAAGCGATTGCAAAATTTAAAAAATTCATTTAATGGGTGTTTGGTAAGAGGTATTAAACAGTAATTAATGGGAATGAAAATAAAAAAAACTGTTTGGTTTTTTATAATCTAATGGGTCTATTCCTTCGTAAGCCCAAATTTTCATTCCAGATTAAACTGAGGGGAATGAAAACTCATTCCCATTTTCATTCCTTGTCATTTACATTTTCATACCCATTTTCATTCCTCTACCTGAACCAAAAAAAATTACGTAGTTATGTTAGGGTCAATTTACTCAAATGTTTACCCGTATGTATTTACCGATGAGAATCAACTCTCATTTATTTTATTAAGATAGAATTCTAGTTCATCAAAACAGTATTGTAAACAACAATTTACCCATAAAATGCAACTGAGTAAGCGTCATGACCATCACTTAGCTTTGAGACTCTCCTCGTGTAGTTTATCAAGTAAGATTATTTGTCCTTATCATGTCTACATATGATAAAAAGAAAGAAAAATTTTATTCATTTGTAAACTATATTATTATTATTATTATTATTATTATTATTTATAAATCTTTTAAAATATATATTACAATGATAAAATAATAAAATATTTTAATAACATAATTATGGGTGTTTGAGATTGCTTATTTGAAACAACTTATATTTTTCTACAAAAGCACTTATCAACTTATTATAAGTCAGAAAGGTTTAACTTCTTCAAAAACTCCTTATTACTGGTTTGACACCGGTATAAGTTGTTTATCCAAACACTCAAAAATGTTTTTTACCGATGTCACACCGGAATAAGTTAATAAGTTATTTTTATAAGCAATTTCAAGCTCCCCTAATATTTAAGTCTTTAAAATAAAAAATCTATTGATTAATTTATTTATTTTAAAAAATTATAAGAGCATAAATTATTTGAGATGCTCTTATTATTTTCTTCAAATATTTTCAAAATTCTCTGATAACAAATCTATTCTACTGTAAAAAGCTGTCCATCTTTTCCATTAGTAAAAAGCGGCATCAACGTTCAAAAATTCAACTGGTTAAAGATAATTTAATTAAGGAAATGAATTAAAATTGAAACAACTAAACGAAACGGCTAAAACATTTAAAATGGGTCAACAACCTACTTGGTGAAACTTATTAAACGGAAACCAACCAACTCCGCGTGATCGTAATCATCATATTTTCCCAACAAACTAAAGACGCGTTCCCTCGAAAATAATTCGTTCCAACGTCCTCTTGACAGCTAACAAAATCGATCACAGAATCAGAATCACTCAAAAACAAATCAAAGGAATATACCTCGATTTGGTGTTCCCAAAATTTTCGATTAGCAAAGCAAATCCATAAGAAGTTGGAACGGAAATGTTGAATTTTCGATGTTTATGGACTGATTTAGACCGAAAATGTTTATTTATAGAAACAGATTCACCAAAAACACAAGTAAAACTTAGGATGTTGCTACACTATTCGATTAACAAAGGAAAGTAGTAAGCAAAAGTTGGAAACGAGAATGTTATATATCTGACATGTCTATGAACAGATTTACACCGTTGGAGGGTTGATTTACGAATTAAGCAGTGTAATTACCGCTGTGCTACTTCTAAATTTGTTGAAATACGTACCTACCTGATTAGGCGATTAGCAAAGGAGTTGATGGCATTTTATGCACAGAACGATTTACGGCTGGTGAAGAGGAGAAAGAAACGATTTACTTATTTACTCATCATCTGCTTAAACTCTTCGAAATTAACGCTACCATCGCCGTCAACGTCAACCGACGCAATCATCTTCCGGCAATCCTTCAACGAACACTTCTCACCTAAACTCTTCAAAACGGAATGCAATTCAGCAGCCGAAATTTTTCCGTTCTTATCCTGATCGTACAGATCAAACGCTTCACGTAGCTCCTTGTCCACCGCATCTCCATCGGCAACGCTACATCCTCCGCGCTGAAACTCGATAAACTCGTTGAGATCAATGAAACCGTCCCCGTCGGTGTCTATCTCCTTCATTACAACCTTGAGTTCTTCCTCAGGTGTGACGGTACCGAGTGCGCCAAGAATGGATCCGAGTTCAGAGATGGATATCTTACCGTCGCCATTAGCGTCAAACTTTTTGAAAACTTTCTCAACGTCGTTCGTATCACCAACGGCGAGATTTTTGGCCATCATTGGGAAGAAAGTGGAGGTTTTCGAATGAAGTTAATCCTCCGGTTTATCGGATAGTTTTTGTCATTGTGAAATAGGGTTCCGGCGGCTGATATATATACTGAGAGGGAAGACGCGTTACGCGGTAGAGTGACAGTTTGGTGATTCTAATGACACCTCTATACGCGTCCCCTGTCACTACTTTCTGCGGTAATTATCCACTGTATTCGCGTCCACCGTAGTAAATCCACGAACAACCTCAAACCGTTCGATTAATTGCTTAAAAATATCTTTTATTTTAAAATAAATTTTCAAAACAAAACTCTAACAAACATTGCTATTTTGAAGTATATAGGTATTGCTGCAATATACATCTCGATTTTAATTTTTAATTTTATTTTTTGTCATTATCGATATTATAATACGATTTTATGTATTTTTAATTTTGAATAAAATATAAATTTAAAAATATATATCAATAGTAATATCAAATCAACTATTTAAAAGTTCTCATTTTTCTATGTAATTTCTTTAATTAATTTTTTTATTATAATTTAATTTAAGTTTAATGATAAAATAATTTATTTTTAGTTTAATAATATAACATTTTATAAGGATAATAATTAAGTATTCTATTAGAACTCAATGATTATCTTAATTATATTTTAGATTTTTTATATTTAAAATGAGATGTTTATCCTATATTTAATTATGTTTATATGCAATTAGTTACACGAATTCAAATATGGAGCTTTAATAAGTTGTACTTATGTACAATTTACTTGTAATCTTGAGTTTTAAGTAAAATGCATTAATAAACAGTACTTTATGTATAAAAAGTGATTTTTAAGAGTTTTTGTCAAATGTTTTATAATATAACTAGAAAATGTACTCGCGCAATGCAACAAGATAAATTTCGATTTAATGTTTATTTTTATTCTGTCTCTATCGATATAATATAATTTTATGTGGTTGTGAGAAAACGGTAATGTTTTTATTTTGAACTAAAATATAAATTTGAAGATAACATAAAAATTTGTAAAATAATAAATCGATAATGGTATCAAATTAACTATTTAATAGTTCACATTTTTTTGGTTTAACTTCTTTAATGTAATTTTTTATTATAATTTAATTTAGATTTAATAACAAAGTAATTTATTTTTGGTTTAATAATATAATTTTTTATACTAGTAATAATTAAACATTCTTTTTGAACTCAATGATTATCTTAATTATATTTTAAATTTTCTATATTTAAAATGAATGTTTATCTTGTATTTGATTATGTTTATCTTGTATTTGATTATGTTTATCAGCAGTAGTTATACAAATTTAAAAATAGAGCTTTAATAAGTTGTACCTACATAAAATTACTTGTAAATTAAAATTTTAAGTAATATGTATCAATAAACAATATCTTATGCATAAAAAATGGTTTTTAAGAGTTTTAATCAAATGTTTTATAATATAATATAGATTTAGATACTTTAATTATTAAACTATTTTTTATTGGAAATTTATTAAACTTTTTTATTATAAATGTTTAAGTTCCTGAACTATTTCTGCATAAAATAATTATTAATTTTTTTTTGAATGAAAAAACCATTAAAATTTTTCATTTTAATTGATTAAGTCTCTGAATATATTTTTAATAAATAAACCATTACACTTTTAAAAATGGACTACCTACATTCTTTTGACCCAAAATAAATAAATTAACTGACTAATAAAAATTTGATGGTTTATTTATTTATTTTAAAAGATTGAGGGTCTTTATCATTCAAAATGTATAAATTTAATAGTTTTTCATTTAAAAAATAGTTTAGGTACTTAAACGTTCAAAATGAGAAAGTTTAATGATTTTTTAATTTAAAAGTAAAAAATTCAAAATGAGAAAGTTTATTGAATTTTTTTGTATTTTCTTTACCAAAGAATCAGTATGTACTAGGGGTGATCAAAAACTCGATCAACCCAACTCAACCCAACAGGAAATAACCTAACCCAAAGCAACCCGATGTCTAATTGAGTTGTAAAATTGTCAAACCGTAAGGATTGGGTTGATATTGGATTACTATTATTTGAACCCAACGAACCCGATATCCTTTTATTTATTGGATTTAATATAATTGTTGAATTTCTATTAATATATACATTAGACAATTACACTATCATGTATGTTTTTTATATATACATATTTTCAATCTATTAACATCTCTATATAAACTCATTCGTATATATGTTCAGTAACTTTGAACATATATATGTTAATTGATAAAATTTACTAAATGTGATGTACGTAAGAAATATGGATAAATTGTATCAAATGGTCGATAATGAAAAAGAAATTATGAGTAGATAAATAACATATTCAAAGTTAGAAGAATATTTTAATGTACCAAATTTTCAACCCGACCAACCCATACGGGTTGGGTTGCACTTTGATTTGGATTGAGTTAAGATTTTTCAAACCGCAAGCATTGGGTTGGGTTGTTTAAATATATTCAACCCGATCAACCCAACCCATAAACACCCTTAGCATGTATACAGAAACTTATTCAAAAGGCTAAGATTAAAGAAAAAACAACCATAGTTTATTTATTTATTAAAAGCTTAATTCTTTTTGAGGGCCAACATGAATGCAACATTTGGGAATCCATAACAAGAATGTCGGGTAGGGATTCTTTGTTTAGTCGTTACACTTTATTAGGTAACTTCATTTTTTTTCTGCATTTTTTGTCATCTAAATAAATTTGGAAGATTCCTTTGTCAAATAAATAATAAAACATATTGAAATCAGATACCATAAATTCTAATTTATTTATATTAATTTTTTTTGATAAATCGATAAGTTCAAAAAGTTAGTTGAAAAAACAGCCTTTGAAAATTCGTTATTGTCATCTAACAAATAAAATAATAGATTAGTTGATAAGACTGGTAGTATTGGTTAAAGGTCATATATGACGTACTAGAAGGGCGTTCACATAATACAACAAGATATATTTTCATTTTATTCTTTATCTTAATTGATATGATAAGGTTTTTAGTAGTTTTGAGAAAACGATGATGTTTTTACTTCTGAAAATAAAAACATTTGAAAGGAAAAACAAAGGATGGTAATAGCATGGTTATTTAATATCATAACAAATATGAAAGTATTGGGTTTGTTTTGATTTTAACCAAAAACTGATCGGTTAGCAAGTTTAATTACAAATTTTGGTTTAAAAACTGTAATTAAAAATCTTTTAATAATTTAAAAACTGATACATGTTAGCGCGAAGGGCGTAGCACAAGTAGCTCCGAGTTTATATACCTGCACAAATTTATACATAGGGGACGATTCAAATGAGAAAGACAAAAAGGTTGAGAACATGAGAATAAATTATTCATATGTGAATTATTGATAAACCCAAACAAATCCATGTATGAACCATGTTCACTTACTTATTCACATATGAAAATGCATATGTGAACCAACGTCTTTTTTACCATTGATTCCTATGTGATTAATTTATTTAAGCATTATGAGTTTTGACGAATAACCGTGTGAGAATAGGAGTTAAGATTTGAAGCGTAAACAGTGACCTGAACCCTTGATCCCTTTTAATGCCACTCATCCAATGAATTGCCCTTCTCATGGAATTGATCTGGTGTATTTTAATGATTCTCATTAAGATTGATCAAATGGTTGAGATCTATTCTTACTTTTCTTATCATAACTTTCATTCTCATCATAATACAACTCTCTCAGTTTTTAGTTCTTTTTATTTAAATATTCCTGTTAATACATATTAAAATAATAGAATATATTTTAACTTTTAACTTAAAAAAAGAAAAAATTTATTTGAGGTGTTTAAGTTTGGAGACTTGGTAACGTGGAAGGGAGGTTAGGAAAAGTGTTTGCTTGTGACAACTACCAACCTTCTCTAACTAAACACTTTGGCCTTTGCGTGCTTCCCATGACATTCGGTTTCTTTCCTTTATATATATATATATATATATATATATATATATATATATATATATATAATATAGAGAGAGAGAAACGTTTAAATAAAAACAACTCAATTTGTATAAACCGTGAAAACCACATTCAACCAATCATAATTTTTCATTTTGTTCATTTTTTTGTAATTATGAGAGGTTGATTAACCATTTTTATTGTGGAGGGTGTTAATCATGAATATTATCATCTTCATTATTTTAATTTTAGAAAAATAAATGAAACAGTTTTATTAAAATTTCATTAAATATTATATGAAACAATTTCATAACCATATATGAAACAAATTCATCGAAAAAAATATTATATGAAACAATTTCACAATATTAAACAATTTCATGAAAAATTTTCATAAGATTAAACAATAAAATCGACGTATGAGGGTGGTTTGTACGGTTTGTACAAATGAGAGTGGTTTTCATTTGATCGCTCCTCTCTCTCTCTCTCTCTATATATATATATGTGTGTGTGTGTGTGTGTGTGTGT